AGTCCGCGTAAAAAAACAGTATATGTATTTGCAAAATAGTGTATTATTAACTGTAAAAAACTACTGTATTGTATATCCTACAAAAATAATGATTCAAAAAAGTTGCGCTAAGTGAAAATAAAAGCTTATAAAAATACTTTAACCAAAAAAAGTTATACAAAATAGCTGATTTAATTTTCTACATTATATTCCTAGAAAAATAATGATATCCAAAAATTACGCTAATTTGAAAATAAAAACTTAAATAATTTAACTAAAAAAAATTGTACAAAATAATTGTTTTAATTTCATACAAATAATATTAAAAAGTTGCGCCAACTGAATATAAAATTTTTTACTATAAAATAGACATATTTCTTTTTTATTTTCAATATTAAAAGAAAAATGATATTAAATGAATTGTAATATATCTATTATAAAAAATCGAATTGAAAATATGAACAATCATATACATTGCAATAATCATATGCATATATCCTGAAAGTTTAATTAAAAAAAAAAAAGAAAATGATAATACAAAATACAAAATTAAAATTATAAAAAATTAAAAATTAGAAATTAATAAATAAAAAATAAAAATTTATATAAAAATTAAAAATTAATACATATAAAAAATTTTAGTTAAAAAACTTAGCGCTGCTACGCTGAACAATGTGCTAATGAAATTAGCAGCGCTAAGTTTTTTAACTAAAATTTTTTTATATGTATTAATTTTTAATTTTTATATAAATTTTTATTTTTTATTTATTAATTTCTAATTTTTAATTTTTTAATAATTTTTAATTTTGTATTTTGTATTATCATTTTCTTTTTTTTTTTAATTAAACTTTTCAGGATATATGCATATGATTATTGCAATGTATATGATTGTTCATATTTTCAATTCGATTTTTTATAATAGATATTACAATTCATTTAATATCATTTTTCTTTTAATATTGAAAATAAAAAAGAAATATGTCTATTTTATAGTAAAAATTTTTATTCAGTTGGCGCAACTTTTTAATATTATTTGTATGAAATTAAAACAATTATTTTGTACAATTTTTTTAGTTAAAATTTTTAAGTTTTTATTTTCAATTAGCGTAATTTTTGGATATCATATTTTTCTAGGATATAATGTAGAAAATTAAATCAGCTATTTTGTATAACTTTTTTTGGTTAAAGTATTTTTATAAGCTTTTATTTTCACTTAGCGCAACTTTTTTTGATATCATTATTTTTGTAGGATATACAATACAGTAGTTTTTTACAGTTAATAATACACTATTTTGCAAATACATATACTGTTTTTTACGCGGACTTAGCACCTTTTTTTACCTTTTTTTTAAAAGGGTAATTTTTTAGGGATATCACTCTTTTTTGTACTATATGTTAAACATCTCTAAATAAATGAGCAAAGAACCCGCATCACCCCCGTCATATTTCATTAAAATTAGACGGTCCTCTTTGCTTACCATATAATATTCCAGATCCTTCAAACTTCTTTGCTACTCTTATATTGCAAAAATAACGGATAACTACAAATCAATATGTCATTAGAAACCGTACACCTCTTTTCATTCAAAAACTAAGCATTTTAGAGAAAAACGTTTTTGACAAAAATTGTATGATTTCTAATATACTCGTATATATATATATATATATATAGGAGTGTGTGTGTGTGTGTATGTTTGTTTATATGATATGTATTAATATATATTTATAGGAAAAATGACGGATCGCCCCAAACGTCAGAACATCCATAAACCGCGATATCAAACGACATCTTCAGAGGAAAGGGAAGTAGAAAGAAGTTCAGGAAGAAAAACACCGATGGAGCAACAACAGAGCAGCCAATTAGATGACGATGTCGCTGAGTTACGGGGAGTATTAGAAAATGATTCTCCTAATAGAGTTATGCATGTTCATCCCGATCAATCACTTACTTATACACAATCGTCAATTAACAATTATAAGAACATATCAGTAATACACCACATGTCAATGACACAACACATTTATTTTGCACACAACCTTTTACTCAAACAACACAAACATTCAGTCCCAGTGTCACATCACATGCACCAATAACTTACACACAACTGTTAAATGTCAATCACACGACACAAACACATTCTAACAATAGTTTACAACAATTAAACTATGCACCACAAAATTATAATACAACACAAACATTCACACACGATCCACATGCATCTACTCATACACAACATATTCGTAGTGGATTGAATACACTATATGACCCTAAGTTTCAGCCTTTCAACATCTGGCCAAATGACAGTCATCGTCTAAGTTCTGTACCACCATCATCACAAACTACAGGAGATTTTTACAATGTTAAGCCGGAAATTGAGTACGATAATAGAATTAAGCAGAAAATTTTTTATAAATATCTAAATATACATACATTGAACTAAATATATATAACTTATACTTGTATATGCAAATAAATATTCACAGAGCAATACATGGAAGAATGGATCAATTGGCTTCGGAAATTAAGTAAGTTTTGAAGCACATTATACATATATGTACATATAAACACTAAATATCATTTATTTTATATCTAAACATGATACATATACTATTTAGATATATTATAGTCAGTATTCAGAACGCACACAAAAGTGTTAACATGTTGTTATTCAATAGAAGAATCTGTATTACATAATACAGATTCTTTTATTGAATAACAACACGCTAATATCTTTGTAAGTGCATTCTAAATACTGACCTATGTGTATATTATTTATATTTATTATGTAATCTAATTATTTATCTATATTATCTTTACAGAAAGATACATGAGAAATTGGACAAGATATTACAGCAGACGAGCAATAGAAGCCGAAAGCATACACCTGAAAAGCCAGCATTTTTACCAATATCATCAATAGCGGATGTTGAAAAATTTGAAACTGCTAATGATGAAGAATATATGACATTGGTATGTGAAACAAATAAGTTTATCATATATACTTATGTATAATAAACTTTAGTAAACTAAACGTAGACACATATATAAATAGAAATATAAATAACAATATTTTTTAAATAGGTGAATTATTTGATTTTTATTGGTGGCTTCAATGCCAAAGAGAGCATACATTTATGCGTAAAAGAGATTTTTCAAGATCGCTTAATGACTTCATACACTTGGTTTGGTCGTGAAAATCAACGGCCATTATTTAATACCCGCTTGGTTAAAGCTATTTATGGTATGATATTATTATACTGATACTAAATTTAAGTTATCAATGATATTTTAATACAATGTTTTGCAGATGCTGTATGCGAAAAAAAAATTTTGAAAGCCGATGCGGGCTACATTCCAAATGTATATGAGAGATGCTGTGCGAACAGCCAAAAAAAGAAACAGAAATAAAGTCCGTAACAACTTAGATCGTGCACAAAGAGGCCATCAAAATAAAAGAGCACATGATCTGTGGAACGACGAACACGACGAACACAACGAACACGAGGACGAGGATGAGATAGCACAATCAGAAGGAACAGAAGAAAATTAGGTCAGTTTTGTAGAATATACATATATCTTTTATAACATACATATTTTATATAACATTTAGTCCCGTATATTGTTCACCGATTGACAATGATTATATATATATATATATATATATATATATATATATTACATATATAAATTTGTTAGAAAATTTGAACATATCATTGTTAAGCAGTTTATTTTCTAATTTATCATTTACATTTTGCAATATTAATAATCGATTTATTTTTTCAACTTTGTTACAGGCATTGCAGGAAAAACGTATATTGCACAGTGTTGCTGGACGGGCTGGATTTTTCTGCGCATGCGTATGTGCAGAAATACTTATCCTGTTCAGCAACACCTTGCAATATACGTTTTTCCTAATATTGCAGATTGAAAAAAGAAGAAAAAGCAGAAGCGGAGTGACCTGATATGAAGACATAAAAAAACGGCATTTTTCAATGTCAAATAGCACTTTTCATTGGCTTTTAAATAAGCACTGAAAAGTGCCATTTTAATTATTTTACGATGGAATACCGCTTGATTCGCTTTATATCGGCACTTTTCAGAGCCACTAACAGGAAAATCATTTTTCTTTAAATCGGCACTTTTTTAAAGTCATGACTAAAAAATGCATTTTATATATATGTGTGCTGCAGAAATAAATAACGCACGTAACGCGAATATACGTATACTTGTATATATATATATATATATAAATCTTTTATATGTCATATAACATAATGTAAAAAAATTTATTTTATTATATTCTCGTAAAACATTAATTATATGCAATATTTTAGATACATTATGGAAATTTTTATAAAAGATACTTTAAAGATGGATTATCTCATGATCATGCATGGTGTCAAAAAAGAAGATCATTTATTTATGGCATTAGTTGCATCTATATTGCAGAATGCTGCTGGTGTTAAACAAGGCTGTGGAATAACGGATGATATCATGACAGGTACAAAAAAACAAAATATAACATGGTCCTGGAAATAAATATAATATATAATATAATAATAATCTGATATGATTTTTGGGATAAATTAAAATTACAATATCGAAATTATTATTCAATGATGTTACAGGCGAAAAATAATATTTTGGATTATGGAATAACGATTTGAAACATGGCAATGGTTTAATTGTAACACTTGATGGCATTTATTATGATGGAGCTTTTACGCAAGATGTCCTAAGGTGACTATACATTCACGAATCTCTTCTTAATATAAGAAACATTGAAGATATAAATTATATTGATAATTGAAATATAATATTGACATTGTGTATGTCTGTTGAAGGGTTATGGAGTTATGATATTCGAAGATGGCACGCATTATTAAAGAAAATTTAAATCTGCAGGGATAAAAGATTTCATTTTTTAAAAATTTATAAATCACAATAACATTTAAGCCCATTGAAGAGAAAGTTTGTAACAGCATAATGTGTTAAATATAAGTCGTATTTTTTAAATATAATGTATCCCTCTAAAAAAACCTTACAAAGGTAAAAAAAGTACGCCAAGTACATAAAAAATATTCTACCATATGCAATAAATTTATATTTAATATATTTAATAAAAATATCCCTAAAAATAGTTTACAGAAATTTTCCCTAAAAAAAGTTGTCCTAAAAGAAAAACAAAACTAAATATGAAATCAATAATTAACTAGCCAAGTACATTGAAGCAATTCATAGAGATTTGTAATTTAAAATATGAAATATAATGATATATAATGATATATAAAAATACATTATTATCCAAATTTAAATAAATATTTGTACAATATATGAAATAGCACTAATATATTGCAAATTTATCATAAACATAAATAATAAGTCATAAAATTATTTAACCTTTACAATAACATTGATTATATTAATCGGCAATTTTGAATTTAGAAGTGTCTCGAAAAACTAATCGATTTGTTTCGAGATCATCAAGTTTTACCAAGTAAATCCGGAACTAAAGAAATTAAGAAAAGTTACATACAAAAACTTAATTCAGATAGCATTATAATATATTTATTATTAATAAATATTTAATTTTGAAATTAATTCTAAGTTTTACCAAGTAAACTTGCAATTGAAAAAGTTAAAAGCAAAATAAAAAAAACTTGGCGTGCTCTCGCCGCATTATAATATTCATATTGTTATGATTAGTAAATATTATAATTACAGATATGTAATTAATAATTATAGGAATATAATTTGTGAATCTTAATTTTAAATATTTACTAAAATAAAATTATGTGAATTATGAGATACGACGAGAGCACGCCAAGTTTTTTTTTATTTTGCTTTTAACTTTTTCAATTGCAAGTTTACTTGGTAAAAGAGAGAATTAATTTCAAAATTAAATATTTATTAATAATAAATATATTATAATGCTATCTGAATTAAGTTTTTGTATGTAACTTTTCTTAATTTCTTTAGTTCCGGATTTACTTGGTAAAACTTGATGATCTCGAAACAAATCGATTAGTTTTTCGAGACACTTCTAAATTCAAAATTGCCGATTAATGTAATCAATGTTATTGTAAAGGTTAAATAATTTTATGACTTATTATTTATGTTTATGATAAAATTCGCAATATATTAGTGCTATTTCATATATTGTACAAATATTTATTTAAATTTGGATAATAATGTATTTTTATATATCATTATATATCATTATATTTCATATTTTAAATTACAAATCTCTATGAATTGCTTCAATGTACTTGGCTAGTTAATTATTGATTTCATATTTAGTTTTGTTTTTCTTTTAGGACAACAATTTTTTTAGGGAAAATTTCTGTAAACTATTTTTAGGGATATTTTTATTAAATATATTAAATATAAATTTATTGCATATGGTAGAATATTTTTTATGTACTTGGCGTACTTTTTTTACCTTTGTAAGGTTTTTTTAGAGGGATATCACACCTTTTTGTAAAAATTATATTTTTTCTGCAAAAAGTATATATGCATTTTTAGCACTTCGAGGCCAACTACACTTTTGTACTACTAAATCATTTATTAATTGCCATTCAGTACCTTTAGCACGTACAATGTTTGTGTAGTGTCCATCAAGTATATTTTTACCTTCATGAAAATTCTATAATTGGGGCAGACGAGCAAGACCAAGAAAGTAATAAAAATTGTCATTACAAAATATTTAAAAAATTCTTTATTTTATAAATACAACAATATTAATGACATTATTTTTTTTAATTGATTTTAGCAGACAGTGGCACAATGAGAAAACTACCAAACGAGGACTACACGATAATGATTAAATTTGAAGTTTATGTTTATTTCTTATAATTTTTGCTTGCATAATTACATTTAATGTTTACTTTCACTATTTCTGTTTATTAGTATTAGGGCTGGTTGTTCCAACTTCTTGGTAAATTTTACCCGATAGATAGTCTATCTTCGTCTCTTTTTTAGAACTTATCTGAAAAGAGACGAAAATATGCTACCTGTCGAGTAAAACTTACCAAGAAGTTGGAAAAATCGGTCCTTAATAATCAAAAAATTGTATTCATATACATTGATATAATTTCTGTTTTTATTAGATATAATTTCTATTTAATAAAATTCATACAACTTCTGCTTATTTTGTGCTTATATATTATTAAATTATAATAATAATAATAGAATAACAATAATAATAATCATTAATAATAAAATATTATATATTATATCACAGTAATTATATCATTAATGAATAGAAATTATAATGATTATAATCATTATAATTTCTATTCATTAATGATATAATTACTGTGATATAATATATAATATCTTATTATCAGTATTAATGTTGAGGTTTAATGTATTAAAAGAATTTTGTACGATTCAAAATAAATATCTTTAAATGATTACAATTATTATTGTTATTCTATTATTATTATTCATTATAATTAACAATGATAATTATTGTTTTTATACATAATGATATAATGATCAGATAATATGCATGAAGCTGTATCCATGTAGTTCAATATAATTTTTTGTGAATGCTAGTATTTTAATTTATGAGATGAGATCAAACTTAGCGAGATAAAGATTTATTGTGTATACTGGATATACTAAGTTATATAATGATACTGATATACTAAGATATATTATCTTATCTTAGTAGTAAGATAATATACCATTATATAACTTAGTATATCCAGTAGACAATAAATCTTTATCTCGCTAAGTTTGATCTCATCTCATAAATTAAAATACTAGCATTCACAAAAAATTATATTGAACTACATGGATACAGCTTCATGCATATTATCTGATCATTATATCATTATGTATAAAAAACAATAATTATCATTGTTAATTGTAATGAATAATAATAATAGAATAACAATAATAATTGTAATCATTTAAGGATATTTATTTTGAATCGTACAAAATTCTTTTAATACATTAAAAGAATTAAAATATAAATGCTTTTTATTCCATATTTATAAATAAGTATGGAAAATTCCCACTGCTTTTCAAATGTGCTAATTTTGCATTCGGATAACATTTATATATTTCTTCCCTAACAGCATTTGATAAAGCATATTCATCAAATACATCTATTATCGTTATATAAATGACATATCTTTTGAGGTTGTACATAACAATTTATGCAATTCATTGTTAAACGAAATGCTAATTCAGGTTGCGTTAAGCTCTCCAGCTAAAAATGGGAAAAAAATATATAAATAGGATTAAAAATATAAATAGGATATAAATAGGATATATATAGGATATAAATAGGATTAAAAATAATTTTTTAAACAAAACATTCTGTATATGTTTCTCTTAGTTTTCATCAATTGCAAAAAAGGAAAGATTTATACCTGTTTCACCATAAAATCGATTGCCTTTATCATCTCTCCATCAACCTTCTCTGTTGCAAAATTTCCCATAACCATTTTCTTTAGTATCATTGATGGTTGGTGGTAAAATCCAAAAACTATAAACAATAAATAATTATTAATAATCAAGAATCTCGATATGTAAAATTAATTGAATAAATTACTTTGTAATGAAATAACTGACTTACACTGCTGCGAAATCATTCAACTAAATGCAGATGTATTTGTAAAAGTATTGCATAAAACTAAAGATACTACTGGAGGGCGAACTATATACATGTCCAAGAACACCGTCGATCACGTAATTAATGCCGTCTCCCGAGTCAGACCCTGGAGACGGCATTAATTACGTGATCGACGGTGTTCTTGGATACGTGTATAGTTCGCACCGTCATTATTTCTCGGGTCACCCGATCTCCAGCCTCACACTAACCTCTCTCTTCCTATCCTGGGGCCCGGAGTACCACGTGGTACTCCGGCCACCAATCACGCGCCAGATCTGCGCTGAGATATTTACGCATTGTCCGACTTAACCAAGGACCAATTGTCGGCCAAAGAGTCGTAATGCGCGCTTCCTGCCAAGATACGCGCTCTATCTTGACGAGAATACTACTTGTATTACGTTTTAATATATTATTGCGTTTTAATATAATATGATAAAATAAAAAATTAACGCACAATGTTACGCATATACACACATAATTTTGTTTCTCAAGGCGTATTTGCACACTCGAACGAATAATCGTACATGAACGTTGCAAACGCGCCTTGAGGGACAAACTTGCTTTGCGTGTATACGTGCGAGCATATCTACGTGAGTCTGAACCTGGAAATGAAGGAAAACGATAAAATGTCACATTTCTGATATGCGGTCATTATTTCTCGGGATTGACTGCACCAATCTTATTCAAACTGGTCGCAATCAAAAACTTGTATACATATTATGTTATAAAAGTATCGTTAGATTTATGATTACGGCTTTAGTTTTTGAAATATTTTAATTGAAAATTTCTTAGACCTAAAATTCCGGATAAGGTACTTGGTAGCGCCGCGTTAAAAACAGTGACTCTCAATGCTCGGATCTATTTTTTATGTACTTGTTTTTTATGTACTTGGCGTCGCGACGCTACCGCGTCGCTTGATGTAATTTATATGCAGCTGAATCTATAATAATTCTCCATGAGATTTATAACTATTTACATAGAAAAAAATGAAATATTATAGATATGATGTAAAAGTTACGCAATATGTTAATGTGGATGTATAGATCTATATATGTACCTAGTTATAGTATCTCTGATTTCTATTTAATTGTTATAATATGCCTTTTTTAAATGTAATATTCTTCAAATGATAGCATTATATGTGTATATGCATATGTTTATATACATACATACACACATAGTGTGTTTAAAAAGTATATATATATATATATATATATATATATATATTGGGTTGGGGAAAAAGTTTCTTCGTATTTTATTGCAAAAATGAAACAAATTTTATTCATATTTGAAATGAAGCTTATGAAATTAAATATGTGCCGTTTTGTTCGACCACCTTTTGCCATCTTTGAGGTAAAACCATAATCCCGTCACTGTAGAACTTGTGTGATTTC